GTTTAATAATATAATATTTTATAAAGATAACAATTAAGTATTTTGTTAGAACTCAATGATTATCCTAATTATATTTTAGATTTTTTATATTTAAAATAAAATGTTTATCCTGTATTTGATTGTGTTTATCTGCAGTTAGTTACACGAATTCGGTTATGGGAAGAAATCAGATAGGGATGAACGGGTTTAAGAGTTTTAAGAGTTTAAGAGTTTTTAAGAGTTTTAGCCAAATGCATTATAATATAGTATAAATATTGAATTTTAAATAATATACATCAATATACAGTACTTCATGCATAAAAAATAGTTTTTAAGAATTTTTATCAAATGTTTTATAATATAGTATAGATTTGTCCAATGTAAAATGACCAAACTATCCATGATTTAATAAATATTTTACATTATCCATTTCTATTTAAAAAAACATTCAAACACCATAAATAAGTTTATGAAGGGGAATTGGAAATACTCAATTTGGGCTTTTAAAATGGGCTGATTTGTTCGTAATTATCAAGAACTGGGCCTGTTATGGCTCAAATTCAGTTAAGAACTTGCCTGAAAAGTGAAAAGGCTCGTAGGATGATCCAATTGAAGTTCACAAGAGCTTATAAATTAGGGATTCAAAGAAGAATCTAGGCGGATATCAGGACCCTATCGAATCGAATAGCGGACAAGAAGTGTTGCGAGGCACAAGGTTAGTATTGTCTATAAAACTACTGCGTTGTGGGTTCGTATTTAGGACTTGTATTCACTCTCTCAGTGTGTTTTGACACGCAAAAACACATATGGTGCAACAACATTTTAACCCACATGGGTTTGCTTGATGATCAGGTGTTCTTAGTATGTTGTTCTTGGTTCTTATTCTTTCGAATTACATAGTTTTGTGTTTGTTGGTCCATATACGCAAGTATTATTGTGTGTGCGTGTGTATCCATGGTTGATTTGTCTTGTTTGTGTAGGATGATTGTGTTGTTTTTCATTAAATTTGACGGAATTTTTTAGTTTATGATGTTGGAGATTGGTTTGTTGCGATGTATGAAAGTGCCTTTTTTGCGGTTAGTGAGTCTTGAACAGTCTGGATGGTAATTCGAATGGTATCATTTTAACCAACCGAAGGATTTTCATTAAGAACACTATTTGATAAAACTGAATTACACATTCAATATCATTTAACTGGTTGCAAAAAGATGCAACATTTCCTTTTTAGTGTGCTTCAGTCTTTTGAATTTCGAATAATTAACAAATACTTTGTAATAATCATAAAAATTGATGATACTGATATAGAAAACGTATTTGTAGAATATGATAATAGGTTACATGTTTTTGATTTATAACTTAAAGCATATATAATCATTTTATGGACTACAAAAGAAAATTTAACAAAAACACTTTTATCTCACTAAAATTTAACAAAAACACCAGAGATCACTTTATTTGTGGTCTTGACTTGTAAATAAGCTATTAAAATTACATTCTGGAAATCTTTGTCAGCTTGGTTACCAGAGTCAAATTTGGGTTCTTACATCAGGGAGCAATTGTGTATTTCTTTGACTGTTTATTAACCCCATGTTTTTCTTATGCATGTCCATCCTGAATATTTTATGCAAATTTTGCTTTGTTTTGCTTTACATATTGATTACTGTTTGCTTTATGTGTGCAGGTTCTATGTGGTGGAGCTAAGCTCTATACATCTGATTTTCATAAAACTACATCAAATATCTTAGTATAGTGGCATTTTGTGAAAAAAAAAAACAGTTGAAGAAGCTAACTTGCAAAAAACTTAAATGTTCTGTAACCCCGGACCAAGAGAGGGATTATAATAAAGGAACTAATTCAACTTAATGACTGACAGAAGTTCTGAGAACATCGGTACGACCTTTAATTCATTCTCTCAAAGGATATTTTTCCCTGAAAAACTAACACAATGTGCTTCTCTTATTAACACTTGTTTTGTGTCCCCCTTACTTCGTCATGCATGCTTAGATTGATCAAACCACCTAAGAGTTGTCTTCTATTATCAAGTGTCACATTATGTCTACTGCTGAAATAACTTCTACGAGTCTGATCACGAAATAAGTTGCTTTTTAATCTTCTTGCACATAGTCTTGTTGGAAGATTATATGTGTTCTTGTCTTCATCATTTTCTTCAGAGTCCTTAAGGATATCATTTGTCGATACTCAATTTTATCATCCTGTAGCCGGTGTGTATAGACTGTTGTACAAGTAATACAATATGCCCATAACAGTTTCCTGGGCATATAGATGATATGTATCGGTATTGTAAATGATTATATTCCGTCACACATGCTTCAGACGACCCCCACCTTTTCTCCTAATCTACTGGCTCGGTTGCTCTCCTTCAAACTAATCTCACTTTTCATCTTTCAAGGCAGAGAGGAAGTGTGTGCTACTTAGTGGTGCCCAACTTTAGGATTTCTTGGTTCTCTCTCTGAATTCAGCCGCTCCACTGCAGTGTTCATATGTACCCAGAATTAACATCATCTGCAAAGTAATACTTTGTATGATGAATTTACCTAGAGAAGGCTATCTTAGATTTCTCAAATTGCTCTTTTTTGATGAAATAATTGGTCTAAATCGTTTGCACTTGCCCATTTTCTGAGGTTAGTTATTAGAGAAGATTAGGGTTGTAGAAGAGACTGGTTGATATGAGGTAGGCGCTGGATGATTGTTTAATGTTGTACAATTGAAGGGTGAGAGGTTAACGATTATTATTTCTGAGAGTGTTGGACAACTAAGAGGTTTATGTGTGGTAAGTAGATTTTATTGAAAATCATATCTCAGTGGTGGTTGTGTGTGTCAATAAAGGGATATTGGTCATACACTTGTACTGTGCACTTAGGATACTGTATATTGAGAAAAGAGGTAGGGAAAAGCACTTGTTGATTTAGACACATCCATTTTTTAGAACTTTAGAGACACTAATGAAGAGTGTCAAGCAAGAGGAGGGTTTGAAGAGAGGTGGTGTTAGGCTCACAATCTTTAGGTAAGCTACAGCAGGTTATGCAGATGATTTATTTGTTGAAGTGTTGCTACCTGAATGGAAATGCTACTATCTAGTTGCTATGTGCAAAAGTTCTACTGAGAAGGACTTTATCATTTGGAAAATTAACTTAAGATAATGTTCTTATAGAAAGATCCAGCTACAGGAGAACTAGGAACGGAGAGCTTTCCTCCCTTTTCCGCCGACTCTTCTCATTTTTTTTTCTTTTTTCTTTTTATTGTCTGAATATTTGGGAGCTAAGACCATATTCTTTTTTTCATTTTTTGCTCTTGTCTTCGAATTTTATAGCAAAGCAGCACCCAGGACACCGGCAACTCCCATCATATGAAATGGTGCTCGTCTCGCCGTGACCTTCTCTTGAATTCTCAAAACTTTTGTCGCTCCATCCCTGCTTGGGCTTAGGAATTCCTATATAACTTATGGAGTTCCATTAGCCAAGACCATCTCTTTTAAGTCATCTTCTTTGTAGGGCTGAAGGGGTAATTGGTTTCATATGCAAATATTGCTTGTGGAAATAGTGAGAGATAAATATTAGGTGTAAAGTGGTGTTGAATACTTCAGGATAAGGTAATGCTGATCAAGACATTGTTTTCTTGCTGAATCTAAGAGAAATACAACTGGCGTAACCAAGTCCCCAACAAAATGCTTCTCTGGTAACTATGGTGGTTCTCTCATATTATTGTCTTTTTGTGTTTGCTTGTGAGTAGCCTCTACATCTTCACTTCATTCTCTTTCTTCACATCTTTTCCACCACACAAAAACATGTATGTTTGCGACTCATTCTCTTTGCTAGTCTGCCTGTTACCACCCTTCATAGAATGCTGTAGAATTGCATCTCTTTTCTCTAGTCCTCATTGCTTTGTTTATGCCTCCAGTACTCGCTTCACCTCAACAGGAACTTCTTGAAGCTCCATATTCAATATTCTATCTCACATGTTATCCCTTAGGTGAACATCCTCATAGTTATCTTGTATGTGCAACAATCTTGGTGGAAGTTTTCTTCTTAGTCACAGTATTTTACATACTTGGTGCAGGTGGCATGCAATTTTGAACCAAGCTATTCATGAAAGTAAACATGCCAAGATTTTACATTTTCACAATTTTCATTTCTTGAGAATATGGACATTAATAAAAAAACCCATTTATTCCCTTGGCATCTACATTGTTTATACCGTATATCGATAGTTGTAACATGGTTTAAAGATTGACAATTTTATGTGGCTGTACAATAGGTCTATGCATAAGTCATCAAATTTCCTGAAATTTTTATGCATGAAAGCATAAGGAGCAAGTGATTCACACAATTAAGTTGCAGTAAGGAACTATGATATAGTAAGGGGCAACGTCATGGGCCATAAAACATGTAAAACGAGAATATGTGACCATATATAAATATATCCATACCCTAGAAGATGCTATTTGTTTTTAGCATATTCCCACGATTGTAACGAAAGTTAAGATTGTCTTATTGTATTGAACTTCAAATTCATTAAGCTGAAAATGGTCTAATGAATGAGGTAGTAGTCTGGTAAACAGTTAGTCTAAATGTTCCTAATGACATATAAGTATTTAATGAATATATTTTACTTAGCATTATGCCAGATTTGATCCGTGAGAAAATTGGGAAAGCAGGAAACGAGCCTGTTGCATTAGAACTAGAATTATTAAGCATAAAAATTGATTTATCTACTTTATCCTCATTAGACACCTCCAATAACCTCTACTAGAATTGTTAAGCATAAAAATAAATTTTCTACTTTATCCTCATTAGACACCTCTAATAACCTCTACTTTATAAGTTTCCATTTCTAGATATATGTGGAGATGGATAGTTAAACGCTTAAAGAAAAAAGTTTGTCCCTTACTTAAGGTTCTGATTCCTGAAGGTATTTTACTGCTCCCAAATGGTGTCCCATTGAGAGGCAGATTTTCATATCTTCCTTACTATGTATCAGTTTACAGTAATTTATCTCTAGCAGCAAGTCCATACAAGGCCTGTCATCAAGGTAATATATAGGTGCAGTACAAAATGCAGTATGAGCATGCTTTGTCAAGAGTGCAAGCATGCCTTACCTTGCCATCACCACCATGATGCTGGACTTGCTTTTTAACAACCCTGCAGATAATAATGATATAATTAAAAGACATATCCTTTCAACGTTGTCTAGTATTCACTTATCCTATAATTTTGGGTACTAGAGTGACATAAGTATATACTATCCAGTACATATAATTGCTTGTCTTGCTGCTTGCCTGTGTTTTTAAAGTGCATAGTGCAAGCTTCATGGGAGTGCTAACAAGCACAAAGAACACATTTCAATTTCAAGTCAAAGAAAGATCCTTGTGTAAACTTTGATCACCATAATCTCTGATCAGGAGTAAGCTACACACACAGAAGACATTACTTACCAAAAAAAAAAAAATTCAAATTTCATATACCAACTATTACATGCAAAGATCTGGTAACAGGCCCTATTTGACTGGCTAGAAACCCTGATCAGATCTAACCATTTCAAGACTCAATAAGCCAATGAAGTGCCCGCGCCTCAAAAACCTTCTTATTTCCATTCTATTTATTGATGACCTACAGTTGAATAATTGATTGGCTTTACATAGGCTCTGAGCCTTGAAACTGATTTGTAACAGTAGGCACCATTGACTTGAATTTAGAAAATTAATAAATATCGGTGGAATATAGAAAGACGTAATTCCATGTAAAATTTCTCCTGCAAAAAATATATCCATTATTAGCATTGCAAAATAAAAATAGATAGAAGTAGTCTTTGAATTTTCAAGCTTTTTGACTTTATACTCCAACAAAAAACTTAACAACCACATATGCAAGATAAACATAGACATAACAAACCCTAAGGTAGTGTTTGGTGCGTAGACCGGAAGGGATGGGACTGGACAGGACATAACTAATTCTTTGTTCTACATTTGGTATGATTAGAACAAGACTGGACAAAACTGTTAAAATGACTAAACTGCCCCTAAAGTGTTTAATGTTTCTGTTCATGTAATAGTTCTAATATAATTCAACCAGTAATTTAGATAATTTAATTTATAAAAGTTAGAGCGAATTTTATTTATAAAATTGATATTTGTATATTATAAATAGTTTTCTTATTAAACCTATATATTTCATATTCATACTTTATATTACACACACATATATATATTTAACTTTATTTTACAAGAACTCATCTTCCTTCCACATAGGTTTTCACTGTTGTGGCACATCTCATTGGCTTCTGCCAAAACACTTCCTTATTCGGCTTTTAAACGCACAACAACCACACCCTTCTTTGGTTCTAACGTTGCCACATGCCACCACACCCACCATCATAGCACCACCACGCAGTCATAGCTGTTACCATGCGACCGAATTATTCGGTGCTTCATAGTCAAAGCCGCAAAACTTGACCAGTTTTTTAAGATGAAGGGCTAGGACCACTTCTCTACTTCTCACACATTTAGCACTTCTCAAATGAACCAATGGTTATATATATGTGTATATGTGTATATATATATGCAAGCACAATGACAAAGAACATCGGTATATATTATATATATATATATACACACACCAGAACAGACAATCCTTTACTAAAGGACATTTTTTACTGTAGAAAGCAACTAGCCCTTTAGGTCTTCAAATAAAAAGTACAAAATTTTAATTAAGAAAAGTACAACTTCTAGGTTCTTTCCCTTTTCAAGAAAAGAGCCTCTGCTTGACCATTGCTCATTGCCTCACCGCCTCAATACACGCCTCAGCCTGCTTGAGGTGTACCTTTCATTTAACTCACTTGAGGCGGTGCCTCATGTTTGGAATCCTATGGCCTCG